CAATCTTTTCATACAAGTCGGCAGTTGCCTACATCAATCACATGGGCGAAAAGCACTCTGTAGAACTAGATTTACTGGTCAGAGAAATATGGACTTGGGCTTTATACAAGAAAAAATCATCTGTCAGCTGTTCACATACCAGGACTTGACAACATCCATGCACATTTTTGTGGAACAAACAGAGTAGCAGTTAAACCAGAATGTCTTTATTCAGATAACAAGAATGACATTTCAACCCACGATAGACCTATTTGCCAGCAGACCGAACTCTCAGGTGCCAGTGTAATCTCTTGAGAACTGGATCCAATGGCCTGGGGAACAGATGCATTCTCAATACGTTGGATACTGATGACAGCCTATGCCCCCCCCCCCCCCCAATCTGATTCTAGGTGTATTAAACAAGGTACGTCTGGAAAATCCAAAAGTGCTGTTGATAACTCCGTACTGTACAGCTCAACCATGGTACTCGCAAGCTCTAGAACTGTCGTGCTATCAACCAATTTTAATACCAAAACAAAAGAACCTACTCTCACTTCCACACGATCAATCTCAAATCCTTCCACTGGAGGAGACACTGCAATTAATCGCGTAGACAGCTGGCGGAGACAAGCTAAACACTTATTGTGCAACGCCTGGCGAACAAAGCCAAGTAAACAGTACGAATCAGCTTGGAAAGCTTGGTTATGCTGGAATAGTAGAAAAGTTGGGTCCATTTCCTTCATCTATAGTTCAAGTCATTGAATGCCTAACCTATCAGTTTCATGAAAAGAATAAATCCTATAGTGCTCTTAATTCATACCGCTCGGCATTATCATCAGTGCTTCAACCAATTGGTGTTTTTCCAGTTTGAAAACATTTAACTGTTATCCAGTTTATGAAAGGTGTGTTCAATGTCAGGCCATCTGTACCTAAATATTGTGTGATATGGGATGTGTCCATTGTGTTAAACTATATCAAAACCTTACCATGTGATTCTAAGCTAACTTTAAGAGAATTGTCCCATAAATTAGCTATCCTTATCGCTCTGGTTTCTGCTGATAGAGGTCAATCCATAACGTTACTAGACTTAGAATATTTATCAGTCCTTCCGGACAAAGCTGTCTTTATTATTATGGGTGCAACCAAAACTTCTAGACCGGGCAGACCGTTAAAGAAGGTTGTGCTACCATCATTCCCAGATTGTGTTAACTTGTGTCTTAAATCCACTCTATTACATTACATTGAACAAACACTCTATTTACGAAATTTCCTTTGTAAAACCACACAAAAAGGTTACATCTACTACCGTTGCACGTTGGATTAAAAGTGTGTTAATTAAATCAGGAATACAGGGCTTTGATGTGCATTCCACTCGCCCCATTACAGATCTAGGGAATCGAACTTTAATAAATGATATTAAATGTAAATGTTAATTTCGTAGATGAACAGTTACCCCCCCCCCCTTTTTTTCCCTTCCCATGTTTTATGCCTACTTAGCTTGCAATTTTATAACTATAAGGGGATTTGGGGGCTTCACTTCAAAAGTTCAACAATGACATCGTAGGTTTTCTCCTAAGGCCCGAGTGGAATCAATCACCCGTATATTCCAGCGTCTAGATTCGAAATAAAGTTAGCAAACATATTCCTAGCGCCAATAAAAACCTAATCATCACGAAAATAATTGTTACCTTTATAACATTTTAAGACATTAATATACATATGTGACGTCATCCTTTGATGTTGCGGTATCATTATTTCAAATAATGCAAGGTATATATAATAGACACCCCCCGCCCCCCCCCCCCCCCAAAAAAAAAAAAACAACAAAAAAAAACATACTACAATATCGCACACACGGCTAACCGAGCACGCAGAAAAGGGCACATCCATTTTGCATCAAAAAGCATCCAAACCAGGTTTGGTGATAAAATGTTGGTTTTTTTTCATTTTACAGAATCAAGGGATGAATAAACTACTAGATTGCAAAATTCAAGAAGCCTCCTATGTTGACTTTTCGAGATATATTACCGTAAACATATTAAAAATCTGGGGGAATCGGGTCAGGGTAGGTTCACTGCGCACACAATAACTTCTAAACTAGCTTTGGTGGCTCGAAGATCTTCACCAAGTCGACAGATGTATACGGTAAGGAACATGCCAAATTTTATTAACTTTCAATGTTGGCCTATCGACTTATATTATCGCAGTGTTCTTAGCACCCGGATTCGAGGCGAGGTTCGGGGGTTCAATACTGCATCAAAAAGCACCCATATCTTTGACTCATTTGTGTTCATTCTCTCGTGTCGCATGAGTTCAATTCCAGGACACCAAATCAATCCCAGGACACCAAATCAATCCCAACAGGAGACTCAATCACATCCAGGACACACAATCAATACCAGGAGATCAATACCAGGACACCTCATCAATCTTAGGACACCAAATCAATCCCAACAGGACATTCAATCAATCCGAGGACATACAATTAATACCAAGACACATTATCAAACCTAGGACACCCAATCAATCTGAGTACGCTCAATCAGTCCCATGAAACCCAATCAATCACAGGACACCCAATCAATCCCAAATCTGATTTACTATACATATATCTCAAAGAAACTTTAAGAGTCTATGTGGGGTTGACCAGAGCCTCCAAACTACACGCACTATAAGTCGCTTGATAGCATTGTATGTATGATTGTTACAGATTATCAAGCCACTAGTATAATTAGACAATGGCATCCCTCAAATGGCATACCTATCGCTGTCGACCTAATGTAACGATTAGCTCCATATTGTAATTTGGAACTTCCATACAAGATTAATAAGTCTTCTCAGTACGTTTTACATGCTTCACACTTGTTTTATCTTCATAGCTTTGTGGGATTTCTTCTTGAAAATCATAAGTTAAATTCATCACAATGGTAGCAAATTCACAATCAATGTTTAAGTGAAATCAATGACACTCTCGACTGGATGCATTGAAACATCACAAAGGATACTTTATGGTGCATTTATGAGAAGTTGTAAAGTCTAATTGATTGCTTTATCACTGTCTAAACGTAGGTCACACACGGAGAGGCCGAACGAGTAACGATCCCTTCAAAACAGAGTGATACAACAAGAACTCAGCCCTAAAAATCCCGTGCCGGAAATACTACAGTGAGCAGATAGGCCTCGACAAATCCTAGTCATCATCAGTTACCGGTAACAATGGACGCGAAAAATCGGTTCAAGACGCTGTCCGGCCAAATTTCACCATTCATGTGCTGACATTAAAGGACAATATTGGTGCCAGTCATTATCACATATGTGTTAGAGCTGGTTAAACACATTCCAAATATATTTTTAACACAGAGATCATTGCTACGATAGCTGAGTAATACAGGTTTCCCGTATCGGAAGTGACGAACGCCAAAGGAAAACACGAGTGGCTGCTCTATATAACTGACTGAAGCGACGAGTGATAACAGATACACGGCCGAATTTCTACTCACTAATAATTCCTTCCAAGACCAAAAGTTGTTATATGGGACAGTAAGAGGATATCTGACAATTCAATAAAGTAATTGAATGTCATTAGATAAGAGAACACGAGAAAAATAGAAATAGTCCGTACATTTCCTTGTTTATATTCATTCTATACCTTATAAAAACATGGTAATGCACGGACTTTTTCTGTTTTTATTACGTGTTCTCTTATCTAGTGGCAGTCAATTCTTTTTATGAATTGTCAGATATCCTCTCGCAGTCTCACACAACAACTTTTGGTCTTCGAAGGAATTATTAGTGAGCAGAAATTCGGCCGTGTATATGTTATCACTCGTCGCTTCAGTCAGTTATATAGAGCGGTGACTCGTGTTTTCCTTTGGCGTTCGTCACTTCCGATACGGGAAACCTGTATTACTCAGCTATCGTAGCAATGATCTCTGTGTTAAAAGTATATTTGGAATGTGTTTAACCAGCTCTAACACATATGTGATAATGACTGGCACCAATATTGTCCTTTAAGAAATCCACACTTCGCAGAACCGCGGTAGGAAGGGCATGCGGTTTAATGTCCATTCGAAACAAATTAGGCCATTTGGGGACTAATATATTGTACAATTGTATTTCAATAATTCGCCTTTGCGTAGGAGTCTTTAGCAGTGAAGGAAACGGGAAGACGCAGAGAAGACCCTCGAGGTCTGCACATCCAATAAAAATAATTAAAATAAAATAAAACCAAACAAACCCAACCGTTCCCACAGTCAATAATAATGTAAGTTGGGGAAGTAAAACCGGAAACCTAAAGACGGATAAATAAATAAACGACAGGGATATTACAAAGCTTTTAAAATCAAAATTAACAAATAAACAGGTGTTAATCACGAGAGGCGTTCCTTATTAAGACATCTTAATAAAACAAAACTGTCATAGAAAAGGGTGCATAGTAGTAGAACATAGTTGTGAAGAGTAGTATTTTAGTGTACAGAAAATTAGATTGTGGAGTAGTACATAGTAGTGTAGAGTAGTATTTAGTGTAGGGTTAATTAGATTGTAGAGTGGTACATAGTGGTGTAGATTTGTATATAGTCATGTAGAGTAGTATATAGTCTTGTTGAGTAGTATATGGTCATGTAGAGTAGTATTTAGTGTAGTGTAAATTAGATTGTATAGTAGTTAATAGTAGTTTAGAGTTGTATTTAGTGTAGGATGAATTAGATTGTAGAGTAGTACATAGTCGTGTAGGTGTAGAGTGGTTTTTATAGTCGTGTAGAGTAGTATATAGTAGTGTAGAGTTATATTTCGTGCAGGGTAAAATAGATTGTAGAGTAGTTCATAGTAGTGTAGAGTTGTATTTAGTGTAGGATAAATTAGTTTGTAGAGTAGTACATAGTAGTAATTAATGGAGGGTAACTTAGATTGAAGAGTAATACTAGTAGTGTAGACTAGTATTTTAGTGCAATATAATGGTGCAGTAATATACCGATTAGTAATATTTCGGTATCTTACTGCAATAAGTCTAGATGGCTTACCTGTGTCCAGTTTTGAATATCAGTCACTATATAGCCAGGAGTTGCTTCCAAAATTCCCATCTGAACATCAACATAGTTTAGTTCACAAGTTCCATTTTGAATATTATAATTAAAAGACTTACAGGCTGATCTCCTCAAACAATTCTGTCCACAAGTCATAAAAGTTACCGCCAGATATTGTACAATAATATGATTAACTAATCTTAATCCTTGATAAGTATTACTTATAAGATTATCTGTAGATGTGCACATATTTAGTCCTTTAATACCAATAAAAAACGATGATCCGAAGAATAACGTCCAAAATACCATCTTCATATTGACAGTGAAAGGTTTCATACTGCCTGATCGCCAAGCTTCTGTATAAATCATTATTGATCGTTCTGGATGAGAATACACGTGTAATATAGCTTGAATAGTATAAAATACAACAAAATACAAATCGATCTCACCGTATTTATGCGATACTAAATATTCCCCTATATTGGTCTCATAAGTGTGCGGAATAGTGGTGGTGGTGTGTGGGTGGGGGGGGGGAGGGGGTATGTGACCATATTACCCATGGCCTGTGGTCCTTTATTTTATATGACAGCCGTTGGGTCGTCAGTCTAGCCATGCAAGGCTTTAGGCCCGTTTGGGGGTTGAATTTAAGAAAAAAATAACTATTAGTGTTAGTGCCCAAATACCCCTGGGTCTGGATCTGGGTCGTCAGTCTAGCCAAAGGTAGCCCGAAAGACTAACATATAGTTCAATTTTCCCTCTTACCTGCCTGGCAGAGAAGGGGGGGGGGGGTAGAGATGCAAAGGGGGCGACGGCCTCACGCATCCTTTTCAGGTGAGCATCCTTCAAAGAGTGAAATTAAAGATACTTTCCGCGTACAAACTGTGAGGAAAAGTAAAGCGATACGTGTATTTCCCATTTCCAACCTATGCGAGACGAGCCCCTTGTTTGGCTCCTATCGCAAGTGTCTCAAGAAACACTAGGTGAGAGCGAACGATAACCCCGACCCCCCCCCCCCCCCCCACACACACACACACACACTAAATAAAACCTGAATAATAAAACCTGAATAGAATAAAACCAGTGATGGATTTCCCATAAAAATTGAATTGTGTTCTGTTTAATGTGTTCCTCAATAGTTAAATGCCACGTAAAGATTATGCCGTGTTAAAAATTGTTGGGACAAGTAGACTAAGACTTCACAGGCTAAAAGTACACGAATAAATAATTATATGCTTAAAACTGTATTCAGTTCGATCGATATCTGTTTCTGAACATGATCAGAAAACTTCCGTTGTTGCTTTTCTGACGTATGTCATGCATGTCTATGATACTTCATTTTTATTGGAACGAATATTATCCTGTAAACTAATTGATTTAATGATAAACTTCTATCTATTTTTGGTGCATTTTCTCTTTGTTCATTAATACTCCTGGATCTTCAGTTGCTGCGATAGATCTATAAATTCTGGCACGTATGGCTAGTCCCATTGATGCTGTTACAAGAAACAGAGAAGACCATGAGTAATTTACGGAGACCCCATAAGTACACGATTCCACTCTTATATAATTTTTTCGTACACGATTCCGCTCTTAAATAAATATTTCGATTAAACGAAATACTAATTCGTTAAAACGAAATATCAATTTAGAATTCGATATAAGAGTAGAAAGTAGTGCCGCTGCCCGGGCAAAATTTTCCCCCGTAGCACACTGTATGGCCCGTCTTCATTAGCTAAGTCGGAGTAGAACAGTAGGACGTTTAACCCCATTTCACTTCATTTCATTTCATTTGTGCACTTAATGGCCTCCGTAGTAATCTATTTCAAGGTCGCCACATACTGATTTATCGGATAGCTAGAAAAACGCCGTACTTTATCGGCACAGTCATGCCTTGCTCCCATTAATACCATACGTTATTTTAATGCGCAATTAAAATCACTATGTTCATATTAATTTCATACTCCCGCAAACTTCATACACGCATTGATATCATTTATAAATGATTCACTGATTTCATGCTCTCCTTAAAACCACAGAACGCTATTTATATTTTCGGAAAATTTCTGTGGCCTTTTTTGTTTTCGTTTGTTTTGAATTTACACAGTTTCTATTGTCTACAGAAGTTGCCGAGTTTAGCGATTTTTTTCCAATTCAGCAGAAAATTAAAAAAAAAAAATGTGCAAAGTCAAAACGACTAAAAATGGTCACGTTTCTGAGGTTCTTAACTTTTGAGAAAAATGCGTTGAAATTTGTGCTCTGTTGTTATCTCCTTGGGCATCAAATACTAACATTTATTTGTGATTTAATATTTCATACAAATACTCCAAGTGAATAATTACCATAACCTATGCATTTTTTTTTGTTACTTGCGATACCTTTCACTTTGATAAGGGTCAAAGTTCATGATAGACTCATTCGGCATTTCGTACGAAAAAATAAATCGTACAGTTCACATTCGGCCAATTCGCCACTAGGACAGTTTATGACATTCTAATCATGTTCGTCATAAATTCGTCAATTCGGGAAAATAATTACAAGATAGCTACCTTGTAGTTATAAAATGGTTATCTTGTATTTGAAAGATAGTTATCAGAAATATATGTTTTTCATTCCATTGACCCTAATGGTCTTCCGTAGATATCTGTTTAAAAAAACCCCATCTATTCCTGAAAAGATTTGACTGTCAAGAAATCAGAGAAAGCGAGAAAAGTGGAAAAAATCCGTGTTAAGCGATCTTTATAGTTTATTGTATTTTTTTAAAATTTTATAAAATAATAGGACTTTAATTCATATACAGGACTTTCGGAATATGTTTAAATTCCAGCAGAAAATAAATCACAATTAGGTAACTCACGGACATTTTCTTATCTTATTCTGCCATTCAATTTTTTTTTATAAATTGTTTGTTTCGTAATGTCTTATAAAAACTGTTCATCTTCACAGAAATTATCAGTGAAATAAAATTCGTCTGTGTAGCCGTTATCACACATTACTTCTGTTTGTAACTATCTGTTTTGCAATCTGATTGCAATACTTCCTCTATGAAGATCTGATCAGTCGTGGTGGGTGGTCGCGTCAGGGGTCATAAGAGCGGACGTCAGACATTTGATTAACTAACCAGCGTGGATGTTTCTAGTAGAATACCCACAGTTCCGTGCATCGCACACCAAAAACTCTCAGCAAAAGACCATTTCATTGGCTAATCCTCCACATCAACCAGAATGCGGGTTATATCACAACTCTTCCGGATCCTACTGTAGTAAATATAGATAAAACAAAAATTTGAACTATAAACAACGAAACGAAATAGGAACTGTGTTTTAATCAGATTGTCTGTTTTGCGTCATTCCAGATTCTTCGAATCTTTGTTACAGATCACTAATTTCTATGTTAAAATTATATTTGAGGTGTGTTTAACCAGTTCTATCACACATAGAATATTGTTGGACACCAGCATGTTCCTTTAACCACAGGTATGTACCGATTGTGCTCGATTTGTATATACGAACGGGTTCATTTAGATTTTTACAATAAATAGTTGAAAATGTAGAATTGTGTCTTTAGCACATATTGTGGTGTCCAAAACATAACTCTCAAACATAAACATGTACTATTTTATGTAACGACATTTAGATCGTGCAATCCGATTGGTAGGCTTTTGCGAAATATGTTAGTATTGTTATAAGTGCATTAAAAGGGATAACCTCTATCCTAGCCCCGTACAACTATTAGAAACTCTCCATGGCACCTTTCTGTTTCCATATTGGGTTATCGATTAGCCTCCAAATTTGACGCTGGGTGGTCTTTACCACATATTTATTTAAGTTAGGTGCGACGTTTTTGTCGCTCCCTGTAGGTGAACAAAAGAAATCAACTCAAATGACAATAGCTATTTATTAACGTCAAATTGATTATTTACAGTCATAGCGTCTAAATTTGTATTTGGTGCTATGCATTCTTTAAACTATACAAACTTTAATATCATACAATAAATACAATATAAACAAATGGCTTAAAGAGGTTTAATTAACGAGGTCGGTTTGATTTTTTAAATGATTTATTGAAAATCCTACTATAAATAGTTTTGACCCTGCATATTTCTCTGTATTTAGGTTTTGGCAGATTTTATACTCTGGCTAACCTGATCTAATTATTTGGAAATCAATTAGACTCACATAATTAGGACAGTGTTTGCTCAAATATCCTTATATAGACCTAAAATATATTCATTTATTTATCAAAATCTAGCCATTTACAGATTAAAGTGACGGTGATACCTATGGCCACCATTTAAAAAAACAAACTAATCCCTTGCAAACAATTCTAGTGACGCCCATAGGGCAACTCTTTGCTTAAAAAATCATAAGACAAATCATAAAAAAATCACCCAGCTAAAAGTTCTAAACGCAGTGGCGGCGCCAGCCGTCGGGGATTGGAGGGGCAAAGCTGGGGCAAAGTCCAAGGTTAAGGGGGCAAAGGCACGAGCGTCAACTAGGGGTAGGGGGCCCCAGAAAATTGGGAAAAACAGGTTGCCGGAAATGCAGATGGCAGTATTTTAGGCACTGATCGATGAGGTAAAGTGTCATTCAAACGAACGGACTTGCGAATCACGACGAAGCCCACTCACGAGCGTACGTCAAAGTAGGGATCAGTCCTCCCTCAGAAAATTTTGAAAAATAGACTGCCGGAAATGCTGTCTTACAGTAATCTGTCAGGCACCGATCGTCGAGATAAATAGATGTGCCCAGATACCGTTCGTCGCCTGATCACTAGTTTATCCGACTAGAGAACAAAATGTCAAACGAACGGACTTGCAAACCTCAACGAATTCCCCTTGTGAGCGCAAAGTAGCGAGTCCATTGGGGACCTCGCCAAGAAAATTTTGAAAAATAGAGTGTCGGAAATGCTCTACAACATGCAAGTTTATGACTGGGTGGGGATGTGGGATTTATTCACCGTAGAAGGTATTGATTACCGAAACGTATCACAAATACTTTTTTTATTTTCTAAAATTATTGGGGGGGGGGGGGGGGCAAACAGAGGGCAGACCAGATTAATGGGGGGGCAAATACCCCCCCCCCCTTGCCTCCCCCCCCTGGCGCCGCCACTGTCTAAACGGCATCACAAAACGAAAATCACGGCATGTTTCAAATCTGTGTAACTAGGTCACCGGATTTAAATCGGTATCGCTGGCTGTTTATGATACATTGCCGCCAACAAATACTCCTTGTCGTGTTGCTGACAAATAATCCACTGTGCTCACGTTCTCTTATTCATTGCTTTTGCAGTAATAGATCTTTTAAAGGCAGT